GGGTCTTTTTTTCCTGTTCTTTGCATGCTTGCAAAATGGATGTTGTCTGTATATGCTTTTTGTTCCTGCAAATGGTGGTGTTGTGGTTCTTGTGTTTCTCACTTTTAAGCTCAGCTTCATTTGAAAGTCCATCCCTGCTGCATGTGAGCATTGTCTCTCTCCTAGCATCATTCTCATTTCATCGCTCTCCATGCCATGAACCATTCCCATTCTTCCCATTCTCCCTGAGAGGGACCTCTAGGTTGCCTCCATCCACCCTTTCCCCCATATCACCACAAAAAACTCTGCAGTGACCAAAGTGATGTGCATGTCACAGGGACTGGTGTCATTTTCATTTGCATCTCTATCTGGACATGTAGTTGCAGGGGTGTGGGGGATAGGCACTGTTGACCAAAGACCTCCACGATGGCCTCTCTGCTCCACCCTCCCTCAAGTGCGCCCTCACCAACGAATGTTCCATATTGCCAACCGGCACCAACTCTTGCCTTTATCCCTAAGTTTGGCCTGTCTAATATATCGCATTAGTTTTCTACTGCTGGGTGACAAGTTACCATAGACTCAGTGGCTTAAAATAGCACCCATTTTTTTACTTCATGTTTTCTGCAGTTCAGGGTTATGGGCACAGCTCAGCTGGGCCCTCTACTCAGATTGCAGTCAAGGTATTGGCCAGGCTGCATCCTGGTTAGAGTCTCACCTGGAGAAAGACCCGCTTCCAGGCTGCCTCGGGTCGTTGGCAGAATCCGTCTCCTTGTGGTTATAAAACTCAAGGTGACTTACTTTTTCAAGGTCAGCAAGAGAGAGAATCTCTGACCTCCTACATCTTTTTAAAAGGGCTTACCTGATTAGGTGTGACCCACCTAGGATAATATCCTTTTTTACTAGCTTTAAGTCAACTGATTAGGGGCTTTAATTACTTCAGCAAATTCCCATCTGTATAGCATAATGCAATCAGGGTGACACTCATCATCTTTGTTATATTTTATTGTTTAGAAGCAAGTTACAGGCCCTGCCCACACTCAAGAGAGAATTATATAAGGGCTTGGGCACTGGTATTCATCTTAGATTTCGGTCTACCGCATGGGTGGTATTTTATTGTTGTTGTTTTAAATTGTGGTAAAATTACACATACCATTAAACTTACCATCTTGACCATTTTAAGTGCACAGTTCAGTAGTATTAAATACAATTACATTGTTGTGCAACCATCCATCTCCATTTCATCTTCCTAAACTGACACTCTGTACCCATTAAACACTAACTTACCATTTGCCCCTGCTCAGGTCCCTGGAAACCACTATTCTACTTTCTTTTTGTATGCATTTGATTACTCTAGGTACTTTATTTAAGTGGCATCATACCATATTTTTGTTTCTGTGCTTGGCTTATTTCACTTAGTATAATGTCCTCAAGGTTCATTATGTCATAACGTGTCAGAATTTCCTTTCTTTTAAGGTTGAATAATATTCCACTGTATGGATGAACTTCATTTTATTTATATAGTCATCTGTGGATGGACACTTGGGATGCTTTCATGTTTGATATTGTGAATGATGTTGCAATGGATATGGGAGTACAAATATTCCTGAGATCCTGCTTTCAATTCTTTGGTGCACATACCTAGAAGTGGGATTGCTAGGTTATATGGTAATTTTATTTCGAATTTTTTGAAGAACCTCCATACTGATTACTATGGTGGCTACACTATTTTACATTCCCACTGTTACTTCATCATGGCAGACTACTAAATTGCAGCAAACCACCAAAACAAAACACATCTCCTCCAAAGAAGCAACATGATTGAGGACAGAACTCTGCTGGATGCCAGACCTGATCTCTGCCACCACAATCCATCCAACTTTCGAGTCTGAAGCATCTGTCTTGTGACTACTTCCCAGCATTAAATCTCCCTAAAAAAGAGAGGTGGGGACCTACTGACAACTGTAAAATTCAACTGCCTCTGTAGATAATGTTCCCAGAACAAAGGTGTCAGATAAACTCAAGTCTGTACTCTTAGGAGGCAACTTACAACTTCAAAATAAAGGTGTTTTTCTTTTTTCTTTATTTTTTTTCAGCTTCAAAATCTCAGGGTCTAGTTGTGGCCAGTGCAACCTGATACAAAAGAAAGGTAAGATGGGGTACAAAATGGATACTGCAAATGCTGAAAAGACATTGCAAACCTGGATTAAAGTAGGTGGACACAGACATTCCGCCTGGGTACCTAGACACAAAGTGGCACAAAAAAGGGAGAGATGGCTACACCCTGGAGAGGAAGGGTGAGGCAGTCACATCAGGGTAGAGCCAGAGAGGAGGGAGGGGCAGGAACTAGCTACCTGCTCTCAGGCCTAGCCAGGCTCCGGTGTGGCTTTGCTTATGCAGTGTCACAGTGTTCTGAAACTTTGGAATTCTCTGGGATTTCAAGTGGGCTCATTATATGAGGAGCTGTGCAGGACCAATGTAGTCTACATGGCTTGTCTACTATTGGCCTAGAGTTCTAATCAACAATGTAAAAGACACCGGGGAGGCTTGACCTGTTTTTTATGACCCCAAATTGACGTCTAGTGATCCTCTGCCTTTTTTGAGTGTCCCCAACTTGTAATTTTGCTAGAGCCTAAACTCCAGTTTGGCAGCCTGTGTAACCTGGGACCTTCTTTCATTAGAACCTGGCTGCCCTCAAGTCCTTGTCCAACCTTCAGATACCCAGGGTCTCGTGGACATTTCCAGGAGTCCCTAGGCACCTGGGGGACTTGTCGGGAAAAGCCAGCAGGGCCCAACGCACAGCCCAGAGCTCAGGTACAAGCCATGCGGAGTCCACACCAGGAAGCAGCACAGTCAACCCCGCCCAGCCCGCTCTGGGCTGGGTCACGTGGCCACGCAGCACGCGGCGTGCGTAGGATGGGGCGGGGCTTAAGTCCCAGCGCACATACCCATTGGTTCTCAGGGCGGGCGCACAGAGCCACCAGTCGGTGCGCGCCCTCACCTCCAGCAAGGCTGAGGCTTTGGCGGGAGTTATCGGTGGGCGTGAGGTGAGACCCGCTGAGTCGCTGCTGGGCCATGTCGGGTTGGACCGGGCTCAGGGTCTTCCGGGGGTCTTCCCGCTTCGGGCGCCGCCTGGACGGCCTTCCTGACGGTGGGCGCGGCTGGAGGACTGGCGGCCCCGAGAGCCTGCCGAGCAGTGAGTCCCTTCCGGCCACGGCGTAAGGGCCACGTTTGCGACGCCACTTTTCCCTAGTCCCGACCTGCAGTCACCCTAGACCCAGGAGTGTGTGGGATGGAAGCCTGGCCCTGGCCCTGGCACTGGGGCAGGCTCCCTCTCGTCAGCCTCAGGCCGCTCCACGAGCACGCGCCTTGGGCCTGGTGAGGGGCCAGGTTCGGAGCCACCCCCGCCCTCCTTCCCGTTCCCGGGCCTGGGGGTGAAGGGGTCGTGTTCAAACCATGGTTCTTTGTGGGGAACAGACATTCCAGGAGGGAAGGGCGGAGGACGGATGGGGATGCCACCCTTTGAGGACTGCAACTCAGGTGTGAGCTGGGCTAGGCATCAGGTGGGATTGATGTGGGAGGCGCCTGCTGCCGCCTAAAGGGACAGTTGGGCCAGGCTCCAGCCAGCGGAAGCCCTGGGCTGCGTGCCACATGTGCCAGGTCCCATGGAGTTTCAAACAGCAACAGCTGGAAACCTCAAATTTTTTTTTTTTTAACGTAACAAGCTGTCTAGTTTTAAATGTTGATGTTAATTCAAGTTTCAGAATATTGCTTAGGAGACCCACAGGAATTGTGGGAGAGGAAGTTACAGCCAGTCACCAGGCACTTCCTGGGTCTTCTCTGCTGGGCAGACAGGTGAGTCAGTTGCAGCCCAGGCCCTCAGGACAGGCCAAGATGAACAGCGCATCAAGATTGGGCTAGGGAAACCAAGGAGGAGAGGAAGGCTCTGGAGGGCAATCCTGAGGCATGTGGATTGAGAGCCACTGGCAGAATACCGGGAGGTGGGCGGCTGGGAGAAGGCACTTCCAGGTGGGCATGTGCTGTTTGGTGGACGCAGGGTAACCTAAGCAAGCGGACCGGCCTGCCCATCTGGTGTCCTGAGAGTTTGGAAAGGGGTTTTCAGAGCCTAGTTTCTGGGCCAGGAGGGGTCAGTGTGCTTCATGGAATAGAAGTTTGTTAGTCAAGGGGACTGTTGTGGGAAGGAGGTGCTGAGGACATACCCAGTGGGGTCTTCTGTGGACAGTGCTGTGGGATAGGGGATCGATGGTGGAAGTCTGTCTTGTCCCCAGCCAGATGAACATCTTTTGGGAACAGGTCTGTGTGGCATGTCTGTGTCTGACTCCCCAGTACCTGGCCCATATGCCTGTCATAGTCGGGTAGGTAAAGTGCCATCTTCTGGTATGGAGGGGA